GAGAACTTACAGTATTTATGTCACCACAGTAATTTTCGTTGTATTAATAAGAAGAAAAGGTTGAAATTTTGTATTTTATCTTGTTAAAATAATTCGGATAGACGTTTTGTTGCTATGGATGGCATCGCATTTCGTTTGTAAGTAATTTTATACTTAATTTATTAAAATAGTTCTGGAAAAAACTCTTAAATTTTGTGTGAGTCAACTAGGTTAATTTCTAACATACCAGTATTAACCCTTCTAGTTGGAACTCCTTCTATAAAATATTGAGCATATTTGTTGAGTAGTCTCACTAAAGCTTCCCTATCTTCACCTTCGAGGTCAGTGTCAATTGAATCGGAAGTTATTTTGTTCGGTTGCAACTCACAAGAATTTGACTGTTTCTTAGAAAAGAATTTAAGCTGATCTTGATCAGTTTGGACGCCAATGTAGGAGAGGCCTATGTCCAGCAGTAATTTAATATAATATTTAATATAATCTAACAAACTACAGTTTGTTACTATACATTACGGTACGTAGTGTTTTAAATATCGTACTTATCTACTCATTACAAACATATCCTACACTAAAAATGGTAAAATAACCCCTTTTAAAAAAAAAGTTGAACCGACTTCAAAAAACACCGACAAAGAGCACTAAAAATTAAAAAATAATTACAAATCTAAGTAAAAAACTATAACAAGTACCCTCAATGTAACAGGTAACATTACAATACCAATAGTCCCTTCTAGTCTGTTTGAAGTCGGTGCCAAGCTCGATGCACAATAAGTAATACTGGTCTATGTCAGCTTTATATAAGCACAATGCAAAATTAAGAATTCAAAATAATTCTAATGAAACATTGAAGATTTTGTTAATTAATAAAGACCAACCAGATCAATTACGTGCGCAAACGTATCAACTCCTTATTAAAGCATTCAAAATAATAATATAATGGGAGATGTGCGTCCACTTTAGCTCGTTCAACATGTTTTGCGCAGCATGAAGACTGTTGCAGCTGCCGCGCTACATTCTATCAAGCACCTATTTGGCTTGGCACCGACTTCAAACCGACTAGAAGGGACTATTGGTATTGTAATGTTACCTGTTACATTGAGGGTACTTGTTATAGTTTTTTACTTAGATTTGTAATTATTTTTTAATTTTTAGTGCTCTTTGTCGGTGTTTTTTGAAGTCGGTTCAACTTTTTTTTAAAAGGGTTTTTTGGTTTCCATTTGTGTTAGGTTAGTTTTTCATCTCCTTGTCCTTTCATCCTCCTTGGAGCCCTTAAGTGGGGAGGCCGTGGCAGAATGCACACAACGCCAGAAGTAACAAGGATCCCTTCATCCCCCTTTACGTGTCCCCTCACACGGCACAAATATTCGGGTGGTTGCCTCCTCTCTATTTCACCCTCAGTCTCTGTTGATGCAACCAACCACTTAGTGCCCGCAGTAGGTGCAGATAGGAAAAATGGAAGCGGTTTCAGTTATCTCTGTTTCGTAGAAAATACGATAATATCTCAACTAGCAAAGAGATCGTATAAGCAATTACTCTCACGACTATGGATCGAAAAACACTCGTATGAAAGATCCTATTATTTCAAAAAGCCGTTTAAAAGCAGATGTTTTAGCCTTCAACGCTTTATGTCTCTGTAAACAAGTCTAGTAAACGTGTACTCGACGGATTCATATCGCATTTACTCGATAATTATATAAAGATATCTCTCGATCACCTTCATACAACCGTAAGTCCTATGACAGCTCTTTGAAAGCAACTGAATTTCTAATTTGTCGTAAAACTAGCTTTTATAGCACTATCTTTCGACATGTATTTGTTACAGCATAATTATAGAGTAAATGCGGCTTATTCCACAATTTTGGCCAATATTGTGTAAGATACTAGAAATACCGACACTGTCGCCAATAGTTGTCGGAATATATGCAGGTCAAGAAAAACCATCGGACTTAGATAAATATTTAGAAGAGTTTGTGAGGGAAATAAAAGATTTTGAAAATGGTCTCAGAATTAAAACAAAAATTAGGACTGAAATAATTATTTAAATCATCAAAACAGCCCTCAAAGTGCATATAACTCGATTGATTGTCTATTTCATGAAAAAGTCATTCAATCGAGTTGTATGCACTGTGAAGGTTGTATGAAAATGAATTTCGCGAGCTACCGTGAAGGTTCCCCCTTAACTAATAGTGGTAAACCATTTAAATTGCCACTAAAATATTTTAAAAAGTCACTCATTTAATAAAAATCACTAAGTAAAATATTTTGTTTATGTTTAATTTTCTTTTAAGTTCCTCTGGAGTATTAATAACAGTATTAATTTGATCTAATATTAAGGATTTAACATTTTGCGCTAAGGAACCCCAAACTAACTGCAATTATGGCGGTCCTAGAAGTCGTAAAGTTGAAACCTCATTTCTATTTCTCAGCTAAAAACCGAGTGAATGCTTTGTGATGATAAGTGAATTGCTATTAATGGCGAATTAGATTAAACTATTAAATTAATATTATTTGTAATTCCTTATTTACTAAGAAATCTTACGGCCCATGAAAATATTAACTAAAATGTAAGGAATATAGACGAAAAATTTAACCCCGCATATGAAAGTAACACTTTTGAGCTAACTTTAGGTCACGAATGTCAATATGACTGTAAAAATGTATTGCACAAATAATATATGGCAAAATTTAATACTTCATTAATTATTTTATTTCTTTTCACAAACACTGATCATACCGGTTTGATGATAAATAAAATGATTTATGAATGCTGCTTGGTATCATTCACACGATCAAAGAGTCGAGTGATTGCAACCGCACTGCAATATTACAATAAATTTGTCGAATGAAAGACCTTCTACCGACTTGGGAAAAGCTAATGTGTTGAAAAATGGCATACCGATGATTAATATAATACTAGTAACTTTCGAGTTTTTGGCTATTCAGACGATAATCTTACGATATTTACATCACTTAAAGCAGAGAGAAGTGCGCCCAAATCGCGTTGTGCCCAAATGTGTACAGATCATTTACTCGACATTTTGAAGATCCATCTCACCACCAATAGCTGAAATAGAAACGTGCTGCTGGCATTTTTACGATATATTTTGCTAGTTGGGTAATAATATATGTAATAAATAGAACAGGCGGAAACCACGAGAAGGATGACACCCAGATTTGCCTTGGGAATCTACACGACTGTTGCGCTCTCCCCCATGACCATTCGCCGTGCACGCCCTCCGCACAGGAGAGCGTGTCAGGTTTGGATATGCTCCAGACGATCTTGGCCTATAGGAGCACACCCAAACCTGCCCTTCACCTAACCACCAACCTAGCAAACATACAAAAAAAGGTTCCCAAACCGTGAACCGAAAATGGTATGATAATATTCTAAGTAAGTTTCCTTTTGTGACCTCCTTCTTGCTGTAGTCGACAGTTTAAAGAAGGAAAGAAAGAAACATTTATTTGCAGAGAATACAGGTGGTACCAGATTTTATAAAGGTGTATAATGTTCAAGCTATATTCTGCCTGTACTAGGCATGCAAATATTTTTATAGAGACTCAAAACATTAACTAATGATAACTATTAACTAATAAAATTAACAAAATGTCAAAAAATAAAATAAAAATATTACATAGAAATTATTAAATTTAGAAATTATTAAATTTATTGAATTATTATATCTAATTTATTAAATCTACAAATGATCATTTACATCAGTTTTGTATTGCATGAACTCTTTCATTGTATAAAAGCACTTATCAACTAGCCATTTTCTTAACTTAATTTTAAAATATTTAAATGGGAGTTCCCTAAGGCTCTTAGGAAGTTTATTAAAAACTGAAATGCACATGTGATACACATTCTTTTTCATCAAAGATGTTCTACAAAATGGAATCATTATTTTCGTAGGATCTCTTGGTCTGTATTTAGTAACATGATCCCCCTTGAATTTAAAGAAATTATTATATTTCCTAACAAAGATTGATACTTCAAGAACATACATGCAGGTCAATGTCAGCAAATTATGTTTTTTATACAACGGTTTACAAGAGTCAAGAGGACTCACTCCACAAACAGCTCTTAGACATTTTTTTTGGGCAATAAAGGCTTGATCAACATCAGTCGAATTCCCCCATATTATTAACCCATATCTAAGGATTGAATCTACGTAACCTTTATAAGCTACAAGTGCAGTCTTTTCATCAGGCACGGTACGAAGCTTTCTAAGGGCGTAGACAAATCTACTTAGTTTGAGGCAAACATCATTTATGTGTTGTCTCCAGTTACAAAATCTATCCAGAGTTATACCTAAAAATTTTATACTGTCAGCTTCTTCTATAGTATTATTTTCTATCTTTATGTTCACGAGTATGTTATTTTTTGAGTGTTTACTTCTATTCGTACCAAATGTTATTAGTTTTGTTTTTGATAGATTTACATTTAATTTGTTTGCTTTTAACCATTCTAATACCAAGTGTACTTCTTTACTTATTTTAGTTTCATGAGATGTATCTTTATTCTTATTTCTCACTATTATAGATATATCGTCTGCGAAAAGAACACTTTGACAATTAATTGAATCTGGTAGGTCGTTGATGTATAATAAGAACAGTAACGGTCCCAAAACGCTACCTTGTGGAACGCCATATCTATTGACCTTGTATATGGGGATCTGTGTAGGGGAAGGCCGGGCAAAGTGAATACCTTAAGGTATTTAAGGTTATAGCAGAAAAGGTATACAATACAAAAACAAAATAATTATCACAAACCAGTCTTTATTTATTGCTCTTACAAATACGAACATCAGTTACCATTAATATTTAAACAATAATCAACTGTAATTAAAATTTAAAAAAGTACGAAAGTATTCGCTTTGCCCGGTACCCCGGGTAAAGCGGATATAGTACTTGGGCAAAGTGAATACCCATATTCAATCTCTGAAAACATATAAATAACTTTGATAAACTAAAAAAAAACTTTACTTGACCATAAAATTAGAAAATTAAGATTGGCAATTGTCACAGGTATACCCTTGAGTGCCATCAAAAGCAGAACAATCTTCGTGACACCATTGTTGACAAATGTCACATTGAATCCAATTTTCAATTGGTTTACCGTCTTCTTCTATATATATTTCACCGCAAAAAAAGCATAAAATATCCTTAAATTCTTTTATTTTCTTTGGCTGTTTAACCTTTTTAGCAGTTTTTTTGTCTTTGTCAGTCTTTGTATTAGTCTGCTTAGGAACATTTTTTGACTTATCATTCAGTCTTTTAGTAACATTCTTAACTTTATTTTTCTCATATTTCTGCTTTTGATCTTCCTTGATCGGGGTACTGGTTAATATTTCCGATTTTTGTAATTTCCGTTTACGCGTGGTCATTGGTTTGGCAGGATTTGGAATAGGTCTTAACACCAAGGGACTGCAGTGGGAGGCTGAACATCCCGGTTTTGGATCAGGTGAGTTGTCACGGCTAGTATATTGTCGAATATTTACTTCCGCCTCCGGCACCACTGTGTCACCTTTCTGAGCAGCTATATCTGGCCCAAAAGCGGAGACGATTCGGGAACATAAAGGTTCTGGTTCAGGTATACATCCGTCGCTACGAATCTTTTCAGGCGTGTTAACAATGGGCGCAACAAAGTCTTGAAACTCACAAGAGGGAGTTCTGTTTCGAGATGGAAATATTTCTGATAGAGAATCTAATGAATTTGATGGAATCTGTTCTTGAAGAAGTGAAGGAGAAGGAGTTGAAGAAGTTTTTGCAAAAGGTCTGGGAATATCGATCGTTTCTAGTGAGTTTATACTTTCTGTGCCAATATTCATATTAGACGTGCCTGCAATCACAGCGGCTGGTTCGTAATCTTCGTCACCAAAAGCATATTTATTCACTGGCCAAATACCAGGTCTTTCAAATCCATGAACTGCATTTTGAGCTACTGCACTTTTCAGAAAAGCTGGTGATAACAGTCTGGCTACATCGTATTGATTTATAATGCGTCCTGGGTGCGATTTTTGGAAGAAATTTACCTCCCTTTCAAAGTAAGTTTTCAGTGGGCCATAAACCGCTACATCCATGGGCTGCATTTTATGAGTTGTGTGTGGGGCCAAGGATAAAATTACGACATTGTTCTTGCTGGCGTAATCTAAAGCTGGGTAATACTTATGGCTCTCATGGTTATCCAATAATAGAAGTATTTTTTTCTCAGAGGTAGGTCGAACATGTTCCACAAAAAAATGCATCCAATCAAAGAACACCTCACCTGAAGTCCAACCATTTGGAGTACAGGTTCCTTGAGTACCGGGAGGCGCACCATCAAGTAGTCTGGGTTGCATCTTTTTTCTGGCGAAAATTAAGAATGGTGGGAGAAATGAACCAGCGGCATTACAACAACCTATGACAGTAGTTAATTGACCACGTTCTGCACTGGCGATTATGCCCACTTGTTTCTTTCCTTTCGTTGATAGCACTTTAGGCGGCTTATTTGTGGTTGTAGATATACCAGTTTCATCCATGTTATATAATCTAGATGCATCAATATCATATTTTACTGTTAAAGCTTCAAGGTTTTCATAAAAACGTCCAACTTCATGTCTGTTAAATCCTTTTGCCCTTGCAATCGATGTTGCCTCTGGAGTCCTGAGGGATATTTGATCGTGACGAGACAAAAATGACAATAGCCAATCATCTCCAGCTTTTTCGTACTTGTCCCAGTTATTCGGGTAGTTCAAATTATTTTTCTTGGCGTAGATGAACGCTAAATTTTTGAATTCATCTCGAGTCAAGCCAAAAAATACAGAATCCATATCTTTGAGATATGTCACCAACTCTATTTCCTGATCTTCAGTGAAAACAGGACGGAATCGACCAAGTTTTGAAGCAGCGATGCCGGTTTTTACATGCCTATATAAGGTTGCATAAGCCAAACCATACTTTTTAGCTGTGCTTTTTATTGATTCTCCAGCTTTGCACAAATTAATAGCCGTTTGCATAGCATTTTCATCCCACGTCCCTTGCTTAGTTTTTTTTTATATTTATTCACCATCTGAAACAAATAAAAGACATTTTTAGATAATAAGTCACCAATAAGAAATGGCGGGTAAAGTGGATACCATATCCACTTTGCCCTATTCACTTTGCCCGACTAGGTAAGTTTTGAGTTTAACACATTTCATACAGAAACTAATCATTCTGACTTTCTGTTAAATATACCATAAAAACCTACTTTGATATGCTACCGAATTAAGATATTCCTAAAAATCAAGAACTAGTAATACAGAAGAATTGATCAATGTACTTACCGCGTAAAATCAATCTTTTATTTACGAAAACACAAATCTCCACTCCGCGGACGGGATGCGACGCGGCCCCTCGCTTCGATGTTTGCCGCGTACTAAACCAAGATGGCCGAACGTAACAGTGGTGGCGTGTTGAATGAAAAACAAATAATTAAGGAGTAGTGGGCAGTATTCGCTTTGCCCGGGGTATTCACTTTTTCGGCCTTCCCCTACACTGCATTCGTTACTATCATTTAAACTGGTGATTTCAACACATTGCTCACGATTGGTTAGAAAACTTTTAATCCAGTCTAAAGCTACACCTCTTATACCAAAATTTTCGCATTTGCTGAGCAAGATCTCATGATCTACAAAGTCAAAAGCCTTACTCATATCAAAGAATATGGCCACCACTGGAATTTTCTCATCAACGTATTCAGTTAAATCAAATTACTTGAAAATAAAGTAAGTTAAAACACCTTAGATTTCACTTTTGCAAGTTCTTTCAGTTCCAGTTTCCTCTTGTATCAAACAATTTGATTTCATCATTATCCTGATGGATTCGTATAAAATCGAGTTGTATAAAATCTTAATAACAAAAACGTTTTTGATGTAAAATACGAGGATCAGCACTCACTGTGATTTGGAAACGTTGTGTGGTAGTTATGAGTGTATAGCAGCGAGTGTGAGAAAAAAAGAGCAATTCTTATACAATTGAGAAACCCGAACGAGCCATAAGGATACATTTTTTGTACTTGTAGAAACCCCCTCGGGCCGTCACCCCACCGGGGTTTACGGCGGGGTGGAATATCGGAATCGGATCGCCAAACTAATGCGGTTGGAGGGGAAACCCACCCCGTCCACGCGCGGCCACACTCAGGGCGGCATGAGGCGGTGATAAGTGCGCCTCCGCCGCTCGGTTCGCCGGCGGCGGATCGGGTCCGAGTGGAGGTCGTCCTCCCGGGCCTTCTCCGCCGCCTCCTTCTGCGAGATTACTTTCGCGCAGAAGGTTGCGACCGCGGTAAAACAACTGTCGCTACCGGCCATGGAGCGTACTACGGCCGGCGGCGAGAGATCCACTCCGATGACTGCAGTGAGGGCCCGGCGCTGCGTCGCCCATGCGGGGCAGACCGCCAGCGTGTGCTGGGCCGAGTCCTCACTGCAGTCGCAGACATGTACGGACCTAACTGAACCTAACACTGCTTGCATAAACATGTACTGTAATGTAATTATATTATTGGTCCAATCGTTTATATCTGGCAATTTTAAATGGCAGGACGAGATTCGCGGTTGGCCGGTAACTATAGTCGACAACTACGAATTGAAAGCGATAGTGGAAGCAGATTCAGGGGGGGTCGTCTACCTGCCGTAGATGGCCCCAGGGAAGGCGGGGCGCTACGGATTTCCTTTCTAGGGTACACCTGGTTCCCCGACCACTGGTGCCGGAGACGGCGTGCGGTTTTAGTCGGTTCGAGTCCGACATTGCCACCTACCGGTAGTACCCGTGTGGTACCCGCGGGATTTCCGCACAGAAAAAAAAAAGTGGAAGCAGATCCAACTGAATCAAATTCTGAGCTTGCTGCGGGCTTTGGAGTTAGTGTCAAAATAACATTGAAGCGCTTGCGTCAAATCGGAAAGATAAAAAAAAGATAAGCAGGTGCCACACGAACTAAGTGACCATCAGCGAGGCTTACGCGTCGAAGCATATAATAGCACCACAGAATAGAAATGGCAAAGAAACGTAGGAATTCCGAATCGACTTATTACCAGCGATGAAAAGTGGATCCTGTACGATCGCCGTAAGCATTCATCTCAGTGGGTGGACCCGGGTACAGTACCTAATCAGTGCCCTAAAACAAAGATTACTCATAAGATGATGGTCCCTGGTGGATCAGTGCCGGACTTGTACATCACAGCATCTTACTGAATGGCACAACAGTGACGGCAGATGTCTATTGCCAAGAATTGCAAACAATGATGGAGAAGCTCGTAATTCAACAACTCGCCCTTCCTCGTTCTAAAATGTTCCACAACGCACGAGTTCACACTTCACGTCATACCATCGCAAAGCTCCAAGAGATACAGATGGAAGCTCTCCGTCACCCACCGTACTTACCGGACCTAGCCCCCAACAGATTTCTACTTTCAAATTGTATAGGTAATTTGGGCCAGTACTTTGATTAACTAAAATAAAAAACACACAAATCTCTAACTTCATAGGCAAAGACCTAACATTTAGACGGTAAGATGACGTAGTGGGTTGGAATTGCCACACCAGAGGTCGCAGTTTCGTTCCTCGCTCAAGTCATACATTTGTGTGCATGAACATTTAACTTGCAGTAAAACCTGTAATACTGTACTGTACTGTAACATAGGTACATTAATATATCTCAGCCTCTGACTTTAAAATAATAAGACAATATAGATATTCTTAGAAGAGACTTATGTCCAGCAGCGGACTTCGAAAGGTATTAGCGGCAACGTAATAATGCAAACGAAAACACGATACTTTCTTTTTAGACTTTATTTCAAATACAAAGTAAACTAAATCTAACCTTAATTTAATCTAGCCCTTAAAGGGCTCCGTTTAGAAGAATATCATTAAATAAGATGAATAAATACGTGTAATATTTTTCAGAACAATTTAGAAAAGAAAGTAAACAGTCATTAGTACATTACATAATTATTACCTATTTGCTATATTGCTATTAATCACAACCGGAACCACAAAATGGAAATCGCAGTGTGATGAAGGATTCTACATCTATATGTGAGGACTATTATAAATATTGACACAGTTTATGAGAAATTATTATCTTCATAACTATAATGCAAATAGTTCTTCCTGTAGATTAGAAAACTATTACTTTGTAATAAAATCTGTTCAAATCAAAAATCAAATAATATTCAAATTTGATTTAAGTAAAATTAGACTGATTCAATCATTTAAGCCGATGTACAGTTTAGGCGTGTAGAACTAACTTGATTATTCGTTAAATCAGTACAGATGCAGTCGATATGAAAAGTATTTTAAATTGATAACGATTATATACATCATGTTTTAAAATATAAATGTGCAATCATTTGCACATTTATATACTGAATTAAACATAAAATATCAGAAATTGCTGAACTTTTCTTTTATTTTGTTACTGATACTAACTTTATGAATACGTTTATACATATAGCAGCATTATTTTTTGTTTTATTTGTGGAGAATAAGTATAAGCGCGTCGCAAACTACGGCACTAAAATGTAGTACCCTGCATTTATAAAAAAAAACTTCGACATTCAAACCTCTAAACTAATACCCAAATTGGTTTCATAATACACGTTTTTATCATTACTGTTGTATTAACAAAACAGTTTAAAAAATACTGATTTGATAAAATTATAATCAATCATATAACCATAAAATGAATTATAAGCAAGCAGTATTGTTCTATAAAAATACTACCATGTACTGTATATCAAATTGAATTGAAGGAAGATAGTTATCTATGTTGTTTTCGACTAAGCTTATCGCAATCAACGGTGTACCACTGTCACCCTCCAAACTGTTTTTACATTTAATACCATATTTCTCTTTAATTATTTACTGGGAATTTTAACTTACAATGACAATTAAATGTATCGTAATGATTTGTAAGATATGAATAAAAATTGAAACATTTTCAGACTTTGTCTTATTTGGATTAAGTATTACACGTATCAACACTTATAGTATAAACTGAATTAGTAAGTATTAAGTTAATAATAAGTAAGTAAAAAATAATTATATTTAATATCTATCGAAATATACTTTGACACAGTTACCCATACATACATATATGACATAAGCATTGGCTGTGGAATATTAACGGTCATTTATTTTCTATAAGAGTTAGAAGGTCCAAGTATAAACTGACGTCATAGTATAGTGGGACTGGGTAGTCTTTACAAAATAACTTCACTTAACACAGTTCGCATACAATAATCACTATTTGTATTGTTGATTTGTAATTATAAAATCTAACGTTGTACTTGTTATTTGAAGCTGCTTATTTATATTAACACATATAAAGTAGGTAAGTATAACTAAGTGAACAGGACTCGCATAACAATGATAATAATACATCTAAAATGGAAATAATAATCTATATTATTTGAAAAAAGAAAGATTGTGAGCTCCGTGAGTTTGGGTGTGTATAAAGATTTGTCGCCAAACCAAGCGGCTACTCATCCAATCAGCTGCAGTGGGCCTATATTTTAAAAAATCGCTAAGCCTGGGCTACAACTTTCACTTTAAATCAACTTTAGGAGGTTAACCTTTAAGGAGGTTAACCTTGCTATTCATATTGTGAACTAATTTGAACATTTTTAATGTTGTCTACATAGTACCACATACATAGTTAAGTAAACATAACTTGCAATTGATCCCAGTGGGGTTGTGAATTGTATAGCTAATTAAAATAAAATAAAAACAATATGCCTTAGTTAATTTATGAAAACATAAACAAAGAAGGCTTTAATAATTTTTACTAAGCATTGATCAAGTTTGTTATTAGATCACAAAACACTTCTTGGAACTAAAATGGACAGGTTAGGGCCGAGGTATCAGCCTTGTGCGGTTTAATTAAATCAACCTAAAGCTAGGAATAATTTTGATAAATGGAAAAATACATAAAATTCCTTAGAAAAAGTCCGGTTCCAATGTTGTCATATTTCACAACCGTCGTTCTGATAAAGAATATTTTTTTAACACATACTTAATACATATTTGCGTAGCAGTGATATTTAAGACATATTAGTCTTTTAAGAGGTACTATTATGTACTTTAACTTTTATTAATAACGACAAAATGGCTGTACTAATCTTAACTTCTGATCAAGATTTAGTGATGTATTAATTAAGATAATTATAAATTAAAACTTTCGTGAATGGTATTCATATTTTCTAAGAAATAGTTTACTGAAATACGCGGGCCGTCGAAGGCCTTTATTAAAGGATGAAACAGCTGTCACTCCTAACTTTCACTCCATCCCGTTTACTTTTAAGAAATATGTCGATTCCGAGAGAAAGCTTGTTCCAAACTTAAACTTTGATCAATCTCTAATCTTCGTAATGCATACAATGTATCATATCAGAATAATATGACAATTCTAACTTTAAAGATGAAAAAGAATAATTTACATAGCAACCATTTTTATTAAAAATAAAGAAACTACATGTAATATCAGAGGTATATACTGCAAATATTACATACTTATTAAAATAAAATAAAAACAAGGCGTAAATTTATAAAGACTAGATATCAAAACAAGAATTTGATGGTGTTCATGTTACACATTTTAAAATAATACCACTGTTATAATATATATATAAGAACACCTGTACACACATAAAATGTGACATAAATACTAAACATATTTTCTTAAAGTGAATGTTAGTAGTCTTGAAAATTGTGTTTAAAGTACTTTGCGCATTTAAAACCTATTTACAATTGATGCATTTTTTCTACAAACATTATGTGATAATGAATTTATAAGTAAACTTTCTTTTGTAGGGAAGGAAATAATAATTTAATAGTAACGTGAAACATCACACACATGGCCCTCTAACCCCAAAGAAGATATTATGAAAGTCTGGTGATAAAGAAAAACATAACGTAAACATACATGTAATATCGACAGACAACATCTAACTAATTTAAACATCGTTTTTTAAGCTAGCTTCTAATATATTTAACGGAGAACCTACAAAATTATATTTTTGTCTTCAGACAGACCATTTATTTCTTTGTTATAAACTGAATAGATCTTATGACAATAATAGATTTGTTTTATACATTTTTTAATTAGATTAGCATCATCTGCAAATAGGTCCTTACATGTAGTGCTAGCTAGTATTGTACACTCACTTATATGGACAGTTTAAATCTTAACATAGATTTGATTTTAATGTCTCACTCATCCACATTCTCAACAAGGACTTCTGGAGAACTATTTACCTAAATATGTAAACAGCATTTAATATATTATTTTGCTGGGTGGTGCTGCAGTGTTAGTACTCATTGCCTGTTCTAATGTATCCAGGCGACGGTAGGCGTGACCTCGACTGTTGCGCCGGCGACCTCCCTGACGACCTTCTAGTATCAAGCCAAAGAACTGTAAAATAATATTTATAATAAGTTAAAATTTAAGAAACTGAGTTTTGTTCATATTTCTTTATTAGCTGTTTTAATCCTGGTGATGTATCATGGCCAGAGAGACTTTAGCTATCTTGTCATAGCAATAATACGGGTCATAGAGTACATCAGTCACGTTAGAACTACGTACATGATGCCTAAGAGATTAAAACCCGTGATGGCATAAACTAGCAGAAACAAAAACTCGAGACGGAACACAATAAATACAATCGAAGCTTTAAGATCTCCATTAACTCTTGACTCCCCCCTGATCTCACTTGATCGAACTTGATCTCACCCCTGGAGATACCTACACATCAAAACGAATGCATTTATGCGATCAATGACCCCGCAAGAACCCAAATGGGTACTACAACTGTAAGTCAGTTTCTTATGCTACTCCACATGTTGGTGTTCATATGAACTCTAAATCTTTATTAATAAAAATGAATTGCCAAATGTATTGCTAAGCACGAAACTCGAGAATGGCTTGACCATGTTTTCAAGGCATAAGAAAGGTTCGGATAATAGTAAAAACAACACTTTTCTTTTCCCATACAAACCAGAGAGTAAATTATAACGCCTGCCCTTAGCTGAGAAACATTTGACGTTAATCAAAAAGAAACAAAGCTGTGTTAAGATTCAATTTGGTATGCCTTCAAGTTGGTATGGATATTCTAAGCCTGCCCAAAATAAAGTGCAAAGAAAAGGGATTATTCTGAAATACGTTTTATTTATTTATTATTTCTTTTGAACTGCGACAGGCTATTCACAGCTATTCACAGAACGAAGTCTATGGAGGCAGCTAGTTCCAACAAAAAAGATAATACATTCTAATGAACAATTATGTATATTAGCTATTTTAACATACTATTAATTATAAACATATAAAGCTTATAAAATTATGGAATGTTTAAAGCTATTTGAAATTAACATTGTATGTGTGTGTTATTTACTACTGCCAGTGAAACTGTTTTTTTTTTTACTAGTAATAATAATAAGAGTATTAACATACCACTTTGCTGACTTTGCTCTTGTTGTGGTACAGCACATACAACAACACAACTAGTATGACAGCTGTCAGGAAAAATGGAAAGAAGTTGTCACCATCATCAGAATAAGTATCTGAGACAGTGTTCGGATAAAATTCTGAAAAAAATACAAAAAACTTTGTTAAAGATATGATTTTGGAGAATGAAAATGGCTTGATGAAAAATATAGCAATGTGATTGTCCAGACACAAATATAACTTACATACATAACTGCATAAATTTAATAAATAAATTTAACCAATAAGTGTTGGTTACATTTTAAAAATGATGTTTTGTGTATGTATGTTTATGTTTATGAGTATGTTGGTATCTATGTTTATAAGTAGTTGTTATTACCCATAAACAATTTTAATTATCGTCACCATTCACAGGACACCCTGAGCTAAAAAAACTATTTTGTAATCTTTATTTAACACTGTATAATAAGTTACTTCGAGTAGATGCAAGTTTCAGTGTTGTCAGTTGTATACTGTTTACACTGAACAAACACTAGCAATTCTAGGTTAATTTGAAGGTTAAAAGGCAATAAGTCTGCAGGTAGCCTAAACAGTTTTAATAGTCTCAAATTAATTTCAATGCTGCTTGTATAAAAATATGTAACTGCACATAATATTACGTAAAATTGTTTTGGTTCTCAAGAGCTTTCAAGCGCATTATAAATTGAAGACAATTATTATAATTAGCATGAATCCCACATCGGACACATATTACTATTTTTTTAAACTTACATTATCTTAATTGTATTCTTCTGTGAACAGTTTTATTTCTATGCATTCAATAAGTGTGTTTCTTGTGTAACTTCTATTTAGAATACTAATTACCTTTCTGGGAGACGTCACTCTCATGTGATACCGTCAGCTTGTTGTTTACAAAAGGTTCTGGTTTCTTCTCTGATTTTATTTCGATACCTTGGTCTTCACCATCGTCATCTCCACCATCATTACCTTCAGAATCTAAAATTAAGGATTTATATTTTAATACTTTAAAATAGCACCAGACAACTGTTAGGGGATAGATGTATGTTAAATCATTGAGAAAGCTTTTATGTCAAAACGTTTAAGAAACAAAATATGTAATTTAGTTGCATATGTATGACTATTATGCTCCTCCTATCTTTTCTTTTAACCATTGTATATTTCTTTATTTTTAGGGTTCCGTACCTCAAAAGGTAAAAAGGAACCCTTATAAGATAACTTTCTTGTCCGTCAATCCAAGTGTTTCCACCGATTTTCTCAGGAACAGGTAGACCTGGCAAGTTGAAATTTATACCTCATACTGAGGTCTATGGCCCTATTAGGTGAATTAAAATCAAGTTCCTGAGTCAACACCAATAAAAAGATATGGGCAAATTTCGATTTTCGCGAAAACTTGTAAGTACCAAATATTTACCTTAATTATCAAATTTTTTATTTTTCAGAATTTTCTCTTTTCTTGTGCTGTAAGACCTTGCTTTTAACCAAAATTGACAATTCTAGGTCAACCCGAAGTACCCTATAGGTTTTGGGTCTGAAACCTATATGGTAGTTCCCGTTGACCAAGAATCACGAAATTTGGCAAAAAGAAACGTCTTACAGCACAAATAAAGGAATAATTTCAAAAAATAAAACAAGTACTTACAAATTTTCGCGAAAATCTACGTAAAATCTGGCTAGGTACGGAACCCTCGGCGCACGAGTTCGACTCGTACCTGACCGGTTTTTTCTTTAACATAACCATTTACACTAGTACTTACACTAACATATTTACATAACTAACCTTAAAAAAGATAATGCTTACTTTGTAATTGATTATCTGAACATAAAGTAAGTAGATCCTACTTAGAATTGCCTAAAAGTGCAATATTGTCAACAATAGTTTTTACAAAAAGTTATCTTTATGTGAACAAATCAGTTACCAAAAAAGACCACAATGACCAAGACCCAGAGGTGGTATTTTTTAGTAACTGACTGACTTAGAAACAGGACATACAAGACCCTAGCCTCCTCTATACTACTGTCTCAGTCCTATTTGCCTCTCTGAGATTTGAGGTATTCCTTTACCTAGTACCCTTTTCTAGCATTTGTCACAATATTTTTGCAAATAAATATGATTCTGATTCTACTAGCTTTCATATCCTATCTCTCTATCCACATGGATACCTTTACCCTAATTTTATTTTACTTGTTTCATCTGAAAACTCTAATTCCTAATGAGAGTAGGCATGCAGCAAGCCATTAAAGGCACACACTTTTGCAATGTTAAACATTGTGCCAAGCCCTAATAAAATTATGAAATATGCAGCAAGAGATAACAATGATAAAACATATTTGAAAGTGTTTAAAGCATTGCCATTTTATTAATAGAATTCATTGATAATGGTATCAATTAAAAACCTAAAACTAGTATTCATAAACAATTATATACTACAAGTATACTATATATACTACATGTAAATACCCATTATGATTAAACATTAAATAAATTGTTTGGTGATGTAACTTTTTCTGTGTTACTGACAAGATTTTCAATTAATCAATAAGAAATCAGTGTGATCCACAAATTGTTATTTTGAGACTGGGTGTTCTTTGTGTCCGTTTCATTTATGTTTGTAAAGTCGTCCGCTACACAAGATATATTCCTAGTGCGGGAATTGTCTCAACAAAGTCCAAAGTACCTTATGTCACAACCACAATGTTTCTTAAATGACATAATGACAGTTAAGCAGTTAAGGCATGATATATTGTTAGGAGTAGTTAAGATTTTGTAATTACCTGGATAGTCATCATCGCTGGGGCCTTTACCCTCCGCTTGGTCAACACCCTTAGAGTCCAAACTTGGGGCATCTTTGCCAGATTCAGGTAATAGTGCAGGATCATTTTCCTCACCGGTCTGTTTCATTTCATTAGGCACTATGGATTTATTAGCTTGTTCATTTGTATTCACTTCAAGTAAAATGGGGTGTTCCAAAGCATGCCCATCGGCTTCCATATTCTTAACTATAGTTGGTGCATTTTCTTGGTGTAATGTTTGCTTACCAGATGTTGTTAGTGTTGTGGGTTTACTAACTTCAATATCAGACTCCCCAGACTTCACAGGAGTAGGGTTCAGTACAGCAGACTCTGTCTGCTTAATTTGCCCGTCTACAGTTTTCGTCTTGACTATTTCAGCAACAACTGACTGACTGTTTAGAGTTACTTTCTCAGATTTTACATTAGAATCAGGTTCTGGTTTGTTCGGTGCATCACCAATAATGTTGTTTGCATTCTCACTTGTAGTTAGTACTTGACTCTTCAACAATTCTAAGCCCCACTCGTAGTATTTACAATATTCATTCACTGCATCTATAGTACCCTCAACGCTGCATATTTCACCACATGTCACAGGTTTCTTGAAATAATACTCTGATGTGTTCTTGTAAGTGTCATATTCAGTTAAATTGGTGAAGACCCAATCCTGTGCTAATGTGCATACAGTAGTGATATCTCGCTCCGTGGATAGTTTATCTACAACATCTTTGGTCAGCGCTATCTTCGACGTAGCTACTGCTTCGCATAACTGTTTGCTTATATCGTAAAATATCAAACATCGTATTTGCTTAACAAGATAAGGCGGAGCTAAAACATTACACGCTTTTGTTTTGTTATTGATTACGTTAGAGAGAAACTTATTTTCACACTGAGTGGCAAGATTAACAAGCGACAGTGATATAGAGGTATTTCTTTGTGTAGGTATCCCAAAACTTCGGTAACAAGAATTAATTAACAAGAACGCTAGAAGATACTGAAACATGATTGTTTTATATGTGAATATTTATTACAGAATAGCACAATGAAAAACAGGTATTACAAACAACACCGTCTAGAAATGATGATTGAAAGTGAAGTGTCAGATGTCAGTGTCAAATCCACAGATAACTAGTTCAGAGCACTGACGACCAAGATTGCCAGCTCAAATATTAACTTTTCATTTAATTAAAACATTTTTAATGTCGTACAGCATTACTTCTTAAAGTACTGTATATAAATATATATATATATATACTATACATAACACCAATTAATAAATTGATTTATGCCTATTATCTACCATTAAAATGTTATCAAATACACATTTTCAAATACTATAAGACAATTTTTTTTTATTGATCTCATCATCTGCCTACCCTTTTCCCAATTTTATTTGGGGTCGGCGCAGTATGTATAATTTTTCCATTCTACTCTGTCATGCGTCATCTCACTGTTTACTCCCTTCCTAGCCATATCCTCCCTCACGCAGTCCATCCACCTTTTCTTCGGTCTGCCTCTTCTCTTGTACCCTTCAACTCCCATACCTAAAACTTTCTTTGCCACATTTTCCTCATCCCTCCGCATGACATGTCCATACCAAGATAACCTATTACTTCTTAACTTTTCATCCAGTGGCGCTACTTTCAGACTCCCTCGTATAAACTCATTCCTAACCTTGTCCATCTGAGTCACACCACACATGCATCTCAGCATTCGCATTTCGGCTACGTTCAGTACTTTTATTGATCTGTCGATAATTATAAAACCGTAAAAACGTATTGTAAAATTGCCACAACTATCAGGTACTACTAACGCCATCTATTAGAAAAGTTTAGAACTAGTATGGATGTTAACAGAAAATGCGCTGGATTTGCGGTTTGGATGCGCCCTCTATCGCCGCTTTTTGCTAATATGAAATAAAATTTAACTGAAGAAGGGAAGGAAGCAGGTATAAAGTCAGTAAAAATTCTTGTAGATCTTTCTTATTTAATATCTTTCTTTCTTTTGCGAATTATTCGTTTGTCGTTTCTCAAAGAGAAATAAATTTGTGTAAATTACCTGCATTTACTTATACGTATACTTCAGTAACATATCTATTGTAAAGATCAATAAGTATAGGTACTAGTTAAAATTCACATTTTAACTAATAAATTGATCTTTAAAATAGAAAGGTTTTGTAGTATAGATAAAAATTACTTACAGAAAGATTGAGAAAAATAAAAGTTGTATTGGAAGGTAGTAGCACAAGTTTATTTACACTCACAGAAGGAGAAACAAGACTCACAACAATTAACACAGCACAAGAAACAGTCAAGAGAAAATTTGATATATAATGTCACAGATTCACACGTTATATTTTTACATAGAATTTATATGTTTCATAGGCAACAAAATAGGTTTCGCGACCGAGGGCAGTACGATAACTAATTCTATGCAGCGGTCGATGCGCTTGCACCGACCGACGGCGGAAACAATAGGACTCGAAGATTAGGGTGTGGTCCCACTACACCGAATGAAATATAAATAAATATTATTCGATTTACTTAAATTATTTATATAAAGTGAAAGTGTATCTGGTAGTATAGAATATGTAAATAAATACTACATATTATATTGTAATGATATATAGAGTATAATAATAAGATATATGTAATTATATTAGTTATAGAAATGTTTAGATAGAAGGAAGATAGTATTGGAATATTATATAGTATAGACGTGTATGTATGTATTTGTGTATACCTCCTACATCACTCCCCCCCTGAGACCGTCACTACGGTCGATAAAAATCTGGAAATCGAACCCTGCGGCCCGAACGTGTGGTTCTGGTGCTCAGATCATCTGGAGGTTTATTCTGGTTAGGACTGGGACTAGGAGTAAGACCTATGACGGGATCATTATTAGTAGGGGTTGGGGAAGGTAAGTTGTTAGTGGAGGGGTCGACGAGTATGTAGGCTGGTTTAAGGCGGTCTACAGATACTGTGACGCTCTTACCTTTCATTAAGATCTTAAATATTTTGTCCCCACGCTCTAGAACCTCGTATGGACCGGAGTACGGAGGTTCCAACGGACCTCGTGATGCACCGACCCTTAAAAATACGTGGCTGGAAGCTTTTAAATCCTTGTAAATGAAGACATTGCTTTTATTATGGCGAGAAGCGGGGGCTGGACGAAGTTTCCGTGCGAAATGACGTAACCGCGATGTGAAATCAGTAAGATCCGTAGAATCAGGGACAGTTGCCTGAAAGAAATCACCCGGAAGACGTAAAGGTTCGCCATAAACTAGTTCAGCCGACGAAGCCTTTAAGTCCTCTTTATAAGATGCCCTAATGCCTAACAATACTAGTGGTAACTTATCGACCCAGTTGCAGTCTGCATGACACATTATGGCCGCTTTAAGCTGACGGTGGAACCGTTCCACCAAGCCATTACACGCAGGATGGTACTCGGTTGTTCGGCGATGTTTAAATCCTATCATTTTTCCCAGATATTGGAAAAGTGTGGATTCAAATTGCCGGCCGCGGTCTGTAACAATATCCGTGGGACATCCATATCTGGATATCCAGGATATTAGTGCCTTGCCGACGGTTTCTGCGGTCATATCCATCATCGGCGTGACCTCTGGCCAACGGGTGAAACGGTCCACTGCAGTCAAGCAGTATCTATAACCTTGTGAAGGAGGTAGTGATCCAATGATGTCTACGTGGATAAACGTAAAACGCGCACGTGGTAGATCGAACGTACCTAAAGGTGCAGAAACATGGCGATACACCTTAGCGCGTTGACAAGACAGACAATTACGAGACCATTCTCGACAGTCTTTACGCATACCAGGCCAGACGAACCGCTCGGCGACCAATTTCGTGGTAGCCATAGCGCCTGGGTGACTGAGGTTATGAAGGCTGTCAAACAGTGGCTTTCTCAGAGGCTTGGTTACAAAAGGCCGAGGTTTTGGCGTGCTTACGTCACAATATAAGTTCTTTGTGCTACCAGGAAGCTTAAGCCTTTCAAGACGGAGTGAAAAATCACCACCAATGTATTTCAAAAGCTCCTGGTCATCGGCTTGAGATTCTGCCAACTGATCAAGATTAATTGACATCGGAACTTCGTCGATTCGCGAAAGTGTGTCAGCCACAACATTATCTTTACCAGATATGTGACGAATATCGGTCGTGAATTGCAATATGAAGTCCAGATGTCGATATTGGCGAGGTGAACAATTAGCCTTCCTCTCGTGAAAAGCATATGTAATTGGCTTATGATCGGTGAACACAATGAAGTGTCTAGCTTCCACCATATGCCGGAAGTACTTAATACTTTCATATATTGCTAAAAGCTCACGGTCATAGGGTGAATACTTTTGCTGGCAGGGGCTAAACTTGCGAGAGAAAAATGCAAGTGGTTGCCAGTTGCCCTGCTTGAACTGTTGCAATACTGCACCCATCGCTAAGTCAGACGCATCCGTCACGAGTGCTAGTTTAGCATCGGTGTCTGGATGAGCAAGTAGTGCAGCGTTTGCAAGAGATTTCTTACATTGGTTAAAAGCGACCAGTGCATCACCGGATATGATGACGGGTTGAGAGGGTTTGACCGAGCCAGCAAGTAAGGCATTAAGAGGAGCCTGAATTACAGCTGAGTTAGGCAGAAAGCGCCTATAAAAATTAAGCATGCCTAAGAAACGCCTCAGTTGTCTGGTTGTCTTAGGTACTGGAAAGTCTGTAATTGCCTGGACCTTCGACTCCAGGGGCTTGGTGCCTGCTGCCGAAATGTGGTAACCTAGAAAATTTACCTCGCGGGCTCCGAAAACGCACTTTGAAGTGTTGATCAGAATACCGTATTCCTTCATGCGGTCGAAAAGCTGCTGTAGGTGACGCTCATGCTGTTCCTCATCCCGAGAGAAGCAAAGAAAATCATCGCAATAAGGATAAACAAAATCAAGTCCTCTAGTCAATTCATCGACGAATCTCTGAAAAGTCTGACCTGCGTTTCTCAGCCCAAAGGTCATACAGGGGAACTCGTACAAGCCAAAGGGAGTGGTGATGGCCGTCTTCTGAACATCTTCTTCGAAGACTGGTATCTGATTGAAAGCCTTCACCAGATCTATCGTACTGAAGACTTTGCAGCCCGCTATGCTATGCGCAAAGTCATGAATGTGCCTAATGGGATACCGGTCAGGGATGGTTCGGGAATTGAGCATGCGATAGTCACCACAGGGACGCCAGCTGTTGTCCTTTTTAGGAGCTAGGTGTAAGGGAGAAGCCCATGCGCTTTCTGAGGGACGCGCTGTACCATTGCTAAGCATGAGTTCGAATTCTCGTCTAGCAATTTTAAGCTTGTCAGGAGCCAGTCTGCGAGGAGTGCAAGATACAGGAGGACCGGGTGTGGTGCGGATGTGGTGTACTGTATTGTGTTTTGGGACCCACGGAGTGCCTGACGGCCGTGTAATTTCGGGGTACTTACCCAACAGTACGTGATACCTGGTGTTGCCTGTTGCTACCTTAATAGAACATACATTAGTTTGAGCTACAGAAGCACTAGAATATAATGTAGTTGTATTATCAATAAGCTTTTTGTTTCGAACATCAACAACAAGATCATAAAAACTTAAAAAGTCTACACCAATTATAGCTTTAGTTACATCGGCCACTGTGAAGCGCCAAGAAAAATTACGTCTTAAACCTAAATTTAAATTTAGATCTATGCTACCGAAAGTGTCTATGGAAGTGCCATTGGCCGCACATAAGGTGTAGTCAGTCTTCGTACGACGGTTCCGTAGTGCAGAACGTGGGTAGACACACAGGTCACTCCCAGTGTCCACCAGAAATCGGGTACCAGTAGTTCTGTCATAAACGAAGAGGCGACCTGAAGTCACTGGGCAGTCGTCTGTCGCCATTAGCGACCGCCGTTGGCTTTTCCCGACTTGTTGTAGTCACATGGCTTAACACAGTGGTGGGCTCGTGGGCCATATTTACTATGGTAAAAACAAATAGGGTACTTGCGGTA